GTTTGATAATGGACAGTGCCCTTATCTCAAGTGGCTGAGATGATCATGTGCAGGACTTGCTGGTCTGGTGGTACTAGTTCTTTGTGATGCTATTGAATGTGGAAAGTAGTTTTAAAATAATTTGCCTTCTCAAGTACTACCTTCCAATCTGATGGACAGATGGCTCCCCATCCCATGAGAATGGGAAACATGGGACAGTAATGATGTAAAAATGGATAGTAATGCTAAAAAATGTATCTACTGTTGACAAGTTGAAGATTGTATTGACCAATATTTCCAGAATACAGGCAAGAAAGTTTTTACTCACATATGAAGATGACTGAATAACAAAGGAGAATGATTTAGATTGTGTTACCTAGACATTTTCAAAATAATATGGAGCTAATGCTAACTTATCTTGTTAGCTTTTACAGTCTTTTCATTTATATCTCATGCTGTGAAGCATTACACAGAATAATTTATTTGCAAATCAAGTCGATGCCTTTTTGCCCAATCACTTTATTCATTGTATTAGTTCCTTAACAATGTAAAAGTTGTTTGAAGATAATTACAACACTATTTTCATATTCATTTGCTCATTTTATTTTGACACATTAATATTGAGTCCTCAAATATTTGTTTAAAATGTTTTATGGATTTAATAGATACAAATATATAATATTTGCTCTTCATATCTTTTTGTCCTGTTTTTGTTTTCTTGTTGTAGTTATTAATGTTTATTTCAGTTAGCCCACTTATATTTTGCACTATAATTTACATACTTTAGAAATCTTTTGTTCAAACTGCAATATTCAGTAAATTTTTGTTGTTCTTGTTATTGTGACAGTGGTTCATATTTGTTATAAAGACAGTACTCTACTGTTCAGTAGTTTGTGGTAGTAGTAATTAAATAGTATTGTAATTTATACTTCTGTACTTGTATAAACAGTACTAAATAGTATATAGTAAAATAGTAGTTGAAGTATGATGACCAAACACATCAGAAGATGAAGAAATAAAGCTGTTTCAGTCCGTCCTGGACCATTACCATTATCAATCTACATGAGACTTGATAATGGTGTAGGATGGACTGAAACTTTGTCATTTCTTCATCTTGTGATGTGTGGTTTGGTCATCATATCTTCAGCCACATTGTGACTCATCATCTGCAGTAGTTAAAGTAATAAGTTTTGTCTTGGGCATTACATAAAAAAATAAGGTACAATACAGTACTGTGTTGTGATTTTACAGATTCCATATGATAGCTACCTTGAGGTTACCTTGAGGTGCTTCCGGGGCTTAGCGTCCCCGCGGCCCGGTCGTCGACCAGGCCTCCTGGTTGCTGGACTGATCAACTAGGCTGTTGGACGCGGCTGCTCGCAGCCTGACGTTACTTATACATTACATTAGCTAGGGGTCAACATAAAAAAAAATCTTTTATTATAATGGTTATAGCAATGAATGCACAGAAATTTTAATGCCAACTAAATATTGATTTACTAATGCCAAATGCTACCGAGTTGCTACTAAAAATTTCTTGCCGAGTTGCCATGTAGTTTTCCGCTTGCTCATTTGCTGCATTACTAACCTTAAAGCATTACAGTGTATCATGTTTCTTAGTTTAATGATAATACTGTAGTTGCAAAACAATTATTATACTATATAAAAATATATTAAAATGTATTAAATCATTAAGTATATATAAAAGGTACACTGTATCGATGTGTAATATAGTTTTGCTTGATAAATAGGTGGGTACCTGTTTTTATATCAATAAACTTTATGAAATTCTCACCTCTAACATGGAATAAAAAACTATGTATGAACTCGTGTGTGTGTGTGTGTGTGTGTGTGTGTGTGTGTGTGTGTGTGTGTAATTACCTAAGTGTAGTTACAGGATGAGAGCTATGCTCGTGGTGTCCCGTCTTCCCAACACTCTTTGTCATATAATGCTTTGAAACTACTGATGGTCTTGGCCTCCACCACCTTCTCACCTAACTTGTTCCAACCGTCTACCACTTTGTTTGCGAAAGTGAATTTTCTTGTATTTCTTCGGCATCTGTGTTTAGCTAGTTTAAATATATGACCTCTTGTTCTTGAAGTTCCAGGTCTCAGGAAGTCTTCCCTATCGATTTTATCAAATGTGTGTGTGTGTGTGTGTGTGTAATTACCTAAATGTAGTTACAGCATGAGAGCTACTCTTGTGGGCTCCCATCTTCCCAGCACTCTTTGTCGTATAACGTTTTGAAATTACTGACGGTTTTGGCCTCCACCACCTTCTCGCCTAACTTGTTCCAACCATCTACCACTCTGTTTGCGAAAGTGAATTTTCTTAAAATTTCTTTGGCATCTTTGTTTAGTTAGTTTAAATCTATGACCTCTTGTTCTCGAAGTTTCAGGTCTCGGGAATTCTTCCTTATCAATTTTATAGCTTCCTGTTACTATTTTGTGCATAGTGATCAGGTTGCCTCTTTTTCTTCTATATTCTAGTTTTGGCATATTTAATGCCTCTAACCTCTCCTCTCTTGTCCTTCAGTTCTGGGAGCCACTTAGTGGCATGTCTTTTCATTCTTTTCTGTTTGTTGATGTGCTTCTTAAGATATGGGCACCATGCAACCACTACATATTCCAGCTTTGGTCTAACAAAAGTCATGAATAATTTCTTTAATATTTCACCATCCATGTATTTAAAAGCAATTCGGAAGTTAGAAAGTGTAGCATAGGCTCCTCGCAGAGTGTTCTTAATGTGATCCTCAGGTGATAGTTTTCTATCGAGAACCATCCCTAGATCTCTTTCTTTATCAGAATTCTTAAAAGATTTCTCACATAATTTATTTATATTAACATTCATAATTGTCTTCACCCTTTTGTCTGTTGCTGTTTACAGAGTTTGCGATGATGCAGAATCTTCAGGCGGCTTTAACTAGTTGCCGTCCTATGTCAGAGTTGTTGTTCCTTCGGGGGGGCCTGTGGGAGGCTGTCCCAGCGGGATCGTGCCAGAGCTCAGGATTCTTTCTCTCATGATGGGCCTGTGGTGTCATGTTTGGTGCCGGCACAGCCTTCAGTGCCATCTGGTTCTGTTTGGTGCGGGGATCGCTCTTTGCGCCATTTGGGTGCTCGTAAGATGCATCGGCCATTTTGCGGTTTGTCCCATTGACGGAGCGGTGGGGGGGAGGCTTGCTCTGCTTGCGCCTGGTCTCATAATTCGTGGGCCTTTTGGGTCATTTCATGCAGCCTGTGGTGGCGTTGGGTGGCTCCTCCTTCCTGTTCTCCTGCGCTCTGTCAAGTCGCTTGGGCATGGATGAAACATCCTCGTCCTTCTGGTGGATCTCCTGCCTGTTTCCGGTCCCGAAACAAGACTGCGCGGACCTCCGGTTCATTCTGGACTTGTCTCGTCTGAACCTGTGGGTTTATTGCCACTCCTTTTGGATGACTACTCTGTCCCTGTTGATATATTTTCTGTTGGAGCCAGGTGCTTGGTGTCCCTGGACCTCCAGGACGCGATATTGGCACATTCTGATTCATCCGTAGTTCAGGGACTGGCTCGGTTTTGTGGTGGGACGTCAAGGTTACCGCTTTCATTGCATTCCATTAGGCTTAAATCTGGCGCCTCGCGTTTTCACTCACCTTATAACTCAGGTCATGGTGGCCCGCCTGCATCTGTTAGGTGTACAGGTTCTGGCCTACCTTGATGACTGGCTGGTTTGGGCTCCAAACCTGTCCACGTGTTTGCTCGCTAGGGATTGGGTTCTTTCCCAGGTCGCAGGATTCAGGTTTTTGGTGAACTGGCGGGAATCCCATCTGGTTTCCTCTCAGGTTCGGTCTTGGCTTTGTTTTGTGTGGGACGTTCGGACCGCTTCCATGTCTCTTCCTCCAACGGCTCTGCTTCGTCTGCGCTCCCGCCTTCATCTGTTTCTGAGGGGCTTCCAGGTAACGTGGCGGTTGCTCGAGGGTTTGTGCGGAAGCCTGAATTTTGCCATGATGGTCAGCTGTGGCTTTGTCGGCTGTTCTGGTTCCTTTGGGGACGTCCCTTCCTCCTCTCTCACGACCGCTGGTTTTGGCCTCTGGGGGCCCTGCGTCAACCCCCAACCCATCCCCATCCCGGGGATAGGGGAGGTTGACAGCAGTGTGGCGACATGATGACGTCATGCTCGTTGGCTAATTTTCGTTTGGGGAGTTCTGTCCATTCGTTCGGCTTTCATTAGCAATAGATTCACCAGAATAGGGGTTTGTTTTGGGCTGCCTACCTTTCTGGGTGCCAGATCCGGTCGATGGCAGACACAGAATGCTCCCAACCACACGGGGGTTTCTATAGGCCATTGCTTTTCGTGTGTCTCTTGAGGGGAACAGGTTCTGGCTCGTGGTCCCCGGTAGGCAAGAACTCTGTGCACATTGACTGATGCCAGAAAGTTGTACATATCCATTCAGCCTGGATAGCTCCGGGGGAGCCTCTGAGACTCGCCCAAAAAATGGTGTTTCATTACATTCATCTTTTTTTTTTGTTTAACAACACTGTAAAGTAATTTGTATCTTTGAACACTTAAGTGGTGACATATTCAGACATAGCCACAGTACAAATATTAAGAACTAATGTAACAATCCCATCCTGATGGTAATTAATAGTGTTATAGAACAGTCTTTCATTGCAAAGCTTGTAGCTTTATCAGAAGTCTGGAGCCATACAGTCACAGGCATCTCTCACACTTATGCTTTCATGAAATTTGGAGAGGTGTGCAGGTGCAATATTTTTGTTGTTAGAAATCTAATCCACTTGGGTTGAAATAGGCGTGCTGGGCTTTAGTTTCAGTTGACTGCTTATTTGAACAGTAAGGTCACTTGTATATCTAAAATGCATTTCACTTGTGTGGTGAAGCAAAAGATTTGGGTGTGATTGTACTTGGTACATATTGACATCACATTGTTTTTTGATAAAAAAAAGGTCAGTGTTTCATGCATTTTACTGCATACATAAGTAAAGTAAAAGCAGTTCTTAAAGACTAATTTCATAATGTTCTTGGCAGAACAATTTTTCATTCTCCGAAAAGGAGGACTTCAGTGATCTACCTCCCAATCAACGAAAGAAACGAATCCAACAGCGAATTGATGATGTCACAACCAAACTTCACCAAGAAACGGCAGCCAGGTAATATATTTGGTTCTAAATTATCCTTTTTTTTTCTCATTCAATTTTTAGAATTTGAGAATTTAAGTGTAACTAAAATTTTGATTGTTATGAACATTTATAAAATGAATATATATCTTGCCTTATGATAATATATATGATGCCTTATGAAAAGGGATCCTTTTCAACATCAGGAATCCTGAATATAATATATCGATGTTTGCACAGTAATATAGTCTACTTTCATTGCTCTGCATCCCTGTAGAGAGAGCCATGTTAGATGTGTGTAACATGTGCAAAATACCTTGTAGGTAAACATGGTGTATAGTGAGACAACTCATGTCACGGCTTCCTTCAGACCAAAAATATCCGAAAACTTCCTGGAGTTATTCACGCACGAACAAATACAAGTATGCAGTCTTGATAACCTCATTTACATGCAGCACAATGGGTTTCTCACATAAAAAATCTAAAAAAAAAAAAAAAAAATAAAAAAAAAAGTACTATAGCTAAACTTATTACATGTACAGTACTTACGGTTGCATAGTCCTTTTTGATAAACTTGCATACAATAGGCTAGATGCTTCTAGCCTATTGTGCCTATTGCCTTCTAGTCCATGGTGATAGTCATCACAGACCAAGCAGAACATGGCAATTTTATGAGCTGCCTCAAACTGCTTCAGAATGATGTGATGGACACACTAGGTAATATTTATATATTTCTGTGGTACCAGAGCCCAATGCACTCGAAATGCTATTGAGTCAACAAAGAAATAGCATTTCACTCCATTTAGTTCTCAATTTTTATATATGATACATGCCCAGGGAGTTTTTGCCATCTGGTCTGGATACAACAAATGTTTCCCCATTTATTTCCTATCTTAACCCTTAAATGGTGCATGGCTATATACCATTCGACACCCATAGGCGCATACACACACAAAAAAAAAAAAAGTATTTTCTTCCTAACCTGTTAATTTGTGTTCACTGATCATGGGAAAAATAATAAAAAAATCGTAATTGGCATATATTGCCCGCTATAGGGTGGCGAAATCTGGCAAAAAACAGGCGCTGACTCAGCATGCGTCCCAGGCGGTCTGTTGCTTGCCAGTTGTCAGGCCGGAGTTGCCACAAAGAGATAATTACCTAATTATTTCAATGTCTCTGATTGATTTTTCGTAGTTTTTTTGCTGTAATATTATTCAATAGTGTGTAGTGTGATATATTTATATAATAAAATGAGTGAATCATCGCTGTACTCAAAAATATAGTGTGCATATTGTTGATTCAATTATGTTCATCAAACGGTGAACAAATACTTTGTCGGTTATTACACTATATACACAGATTATATATAAGTATCTGCATGTTTTGTGCACCATAATGAACCACTAAGTTGCTATTACGAGTCAAAAAGTAACGAGGAGTGACCGCCGCGTATCAGCCAGCCACTCGCGCTCTCCCTCAACACCTCACTCGCCCACATTCTCCTCCCACCATACTGTTTTTGCTTTTATTCACTATATACAGACTTTATATATAAGTATCTACATTCGTGATCACCATAACGAACCACTAAGTTGACATGCTAAGTGGCAGTGGCAGCCCGCCACTGGCTGCTACTTCCTCCCTCCCTCAAGTCACCTGACTCGCCCACATTCTCCTCCCACAATACTGTTTTTGCCTTAATTCACTATATACAGACGCTATATATAAGTATCTACATTCGTGTTCACCATAACAAACCACTAAGTTGGTATGCTGAGTGGCAGTGGCAGCCAGTGACAGCCCGCTACTGGCTGCCACTCCCTCCCTCCCTCCCTCCTTAACTTCACCTGACTTGCCACCATTCTCCACCCACCATACTGTTTTTGCTTTTATATATAGACGTTACATATAAGTATTTACATGTTTTGTTCACCATAACTGAACATCTAAGCTTGTATGGTGAGTAAAGGCACAAAGACGTAGGACCTCACACAGTCAGCTGGCTGCCGCCCTCAAGGCCAGACGCACTAATATTTCTCCTCCAACAATACTGTTTGTGGTGTTATTACACTATATACACACATTATATATAAATATCTACCCGTTTTATTCACCATACTTGTACGAGTTAACTGGTATGGTGCCCAAAGACCATCGTGGTCACCAGTAAACATGATAAATCGTGCAGACGACGCCACCGCCCTCACCAAAATGGCGGCTCTCAACCTCCTACTCTTGCTGTTTATACTCTCTATACACACAATATATATAAGTATCTACATTTGTGTTCACCATAGCGAACCACTAAGCTGGTATGGTGAGTGCAGTCAATAAAAGGTGGCCCCACACAGTCAAAAGACAACGCCACCACCCTCCTTCCCACAGCATTACTCCTCCCTCCATGGAGCACAGTGCTAAATATCACCACAATCCTGCTATTATCAGAACCCTGGTCAGTTTTATCACAGTCAGGGGTCTTCTGTAATAATATCATCGCTACATAATAGCATGAACAAGTATATTATGGCATTTTTAGGCGATGCTGTGGTCACAAGCTGAACAGCAATGCTGTGAGCTCATCCTGCGTGCGTCAGGCTTGGTAGCCGACTCAATACTGAGGTCCCTAACACTTGGGAATTTGGCCCACGATTTTTAAAAAAAATGGCGTCTGTTTACAAGAGCCCCGATGAAGGTGTGGTGAACTGTAGACTGCTGATGTTATACAGGGTATCTGCGGGCTGTTTAAATCTTGCGTAATACTCCAAAGCATCATATGATGCGATGCGCAATTTACTGCAAGTCGGTCAAAGCATCATATTATGCAATGCGCAATTTAAGGGTTAATTCACCTTTGGGTAATATAAAAAGTTACCAGAATTGGTGTTTCCTCATATATACCAATATTTTGAATGAACGAGTTGTGGATAAGGGAATTTATATTGTTGCATGATTGAGTTTGATGAGGTGTACTGCATAAAATACTTTAGTTATGCTTGATGCAGGGTTGCAAACAATGTATTTCTGTACAAAACAATGCTTGGTTGGGTTTAACATGTGGTCCTGCATATTGCATCTGTATAAAATACGTCATGGTTGGATTTGACATGGTGGTTGGAGTATTGTAATGTACTCTTTAGAAAATACTGGACAGTTGAATTTGGTATATGATCTTAAGTAATGCATCCCTGTATAACGTCAGCAGTCTACAGTATATTTTATCTAAACACAATTTGTTAAGCAGTTCTGTCTTTGTCTTTGAGCAGTAGTCACAAGATAAATATGCCTTTAATACTTAGTTGTATAAATTGATGTATTGTAGATCATTTTGTATTTATCCAAGACTCAAAATTGCACATCCAGCATCTGTCAACTTCTTAGTTACAGGTAATTTATGAATGACAGAGGTACAGTATATGTATCAGATTTGTCTAATTAGGTCAGGATTTTTTTATATTTTCTTTATATATTATAAGTTTTTGACTTAAGTGTGTCTAAAAGCTTACTGTGATATTTTACTTTTTCAGGGATGGGCTCTTAAAGATGAAAGAAGTGTACGAGGGAAATCCATCACTTGGTGACCCAATGAGTATAATGGGCCAGCTCAATGATTCTTGTCAAAGGATTGAGAAGTTACGTGCAGATCTCCAACGGTATCAGGCCATGTTGGAAGATGCAGATGGTGATATTCAAGCTGGGATAGCATCAGGAGGCCCATCTACTCCCAATGCCTCACTGGCACGGCATCATAGCAGTGTCCTGTCGCCACATCACAATGGAGGAGCTTCTCCTAGATCCTCTGTCACATCCCATCGCACATCCCTCAGCGACGAATCCCTTTCCCGGTCAGCCTCTGACTCCTCCGTCTGCACCAATCCTCCCTCCTCCAATACTACCACAACTACCACAACTACCACCTCCCTTCATCGTGTAGCCATCTCTGCTCTGGCCACCGCCACCACAACAACCACAACAGGGGAGGGCAACAAAGCAACCCCTTCTGACCCGCTGCCCTCTCAGGGGTCAGTTTTGCACTCATTTTCACAGCTGACAAACACGCATTCATTAAAGTATTTGCTTTCCAAACCAAAGTTTTTTCTTCAGTTTATTCTGTATCATGTGTTTTTTTGTTGTACAGTAATTGTCATTAAATAAAGAGTCTTAATTTTTTTTTTAAGTGACTTCGTGTTTGTTAGCCAGTAATTTGGTTTAAGGTTATTTGGTCAGCTGCTTGATTATGGTACTTGTATCTGCAAATGTCTTCTATCAGTCTTTTCTCTTATTTTGTTGAGCTGGTATGCAGTCACTTTAATTGGAATGCAGTTTGGATCTTAAAATATATTCTGGGCTGATAAAGCATGGCCACTTAGAGTAAATTATAATTTTCTCTTGACATTAACCATCTTTGTACTTTAGCTATTGTGCATGAGGGTTCGTTAGATCTTAAGTTTGGAGTGTGACAAGTGCTCAAGTAGTTTTTTTTTAAATATATTTAAGTCATTTAGGATTTTCAGAATACAAAGGTATGAGGGGGTATTTAAAAATGTTTTGCAACTCGAGCTTCTAAGAATAAAATAAAATAAAATAAAATTTCCTCTATATTGCATTTATAAATGTAATAATCCTCTGTTTTAATGTACTGTACTTTTAACTATTTTTATATTTTTAAGATATCAATTCCCAGATAATAGTACATTTTGACTGCACCACTAACCATTGATAATGAACTGCAAGAATTATCTTCCCGTAGTGTTGTAATGTGATTTTTAAACTGCGTGATCCCCTTACGAACAAATAGGATCTCTGCAACTGTAACCATTTAAAGCAATACAGTATCATGCAGTAACAGAACACCTTGGAAGTGGAAACTATTTCCACTTCATCTTTAAGATTAACCCTTAAACTGTGCATGGCGTATATATACGCCCTGAATAACATGTCCCACCGTGCGCGTGGCGTATATATATGCCCAAGGGTGCCAGGCCCGATTCAAATGGCCCGCGGCTACACGGGGTTCACATTAGCTTCCTCAGGGCTCTTGTAAACAGACGCCATTTAAAAAAAAAATCGTGGGCAATATTCTCGGGTATGAGAGGCACAGTACTGTTGGAGCAACCAAGGCTGGCGCACGCAGCATGAGCGAACAGCATTGCTGTTCAGCTTGTGACCACAACATCGCCGAAAAATGTCTAAAATAAATATATAATTGCTATTATTTAGCGATGACAATATTACAGATGACCCCTGACTGTGATATAAATAACCAAGGTTGTGATAATAGCAGGATTGTTGTAATAATTAGTGCTGTGGGACGAGTGATGCCGAGAGACGGAGGGAGATAGCATCGTTTACTGACTGTGTGGCCACCTGTTATTGTCTGCATTCACCATACCAGCTCAGTGGTTCTCTATGATGAACACAAATGTAGATACTTATATATAATGTGTGTATTAGTGTAATAACAGCAAAAGGATTATGCTGGGAGGAGCCATTTGGGTGACGGAGGTGACGTCGTCTGCATGATTTGTCTGGCTGTGCAGAGGGTGGCCACTATGCTCTTTGGGCACTCTACAAGCTTAGGTGTACAGTTACAGTACATACAACATGTAAATACTTATATATAATATGTATATAGTGTAATAACACTGCAAACAGTATTGTTGGGGGAGAAAGTTTAGTGCGTGTGACCTTGAGTGAGTGAGGCAGCCGCTAGCTGACTGTGTGTATAGCGACGGCTCTTAGTGCCTAAACTAACTATATCAGCTTAGCTGTACAGTTGTGATGAACAAAACATATACATACTTATATATAACGTCTGTATATAGTGTCATAACACCACAACCGGTATTGTTGGGGGAGAAAGTTTAGTGCGTGTGGCCTTGAGTGAGTGAGGCAGCTACTAGCTGACTGTGTGTATAGCGATGGCTCTTAGTGCCTAAACTAACTATATCTGCTTAGTTGTACGCTTGTGGTGAACAAGACATGTAGTTTCTTATATATAACGTCTGTATATTGTGAATAAAATATAAAACAGGACGGTGGGAGGAAAAAGTGGGCGAGTGAGGCGTTGTTTAGGGAGTGGCATTGAGTGGTTGCTGATGTGTGGCGGTAACTCCTCGTTACTTTTCGACTCTCAATACCAACTTAGTGGTTTGTTATGGTGAACAAAACATGCAGATACTTATATATAACCTGTGTATAGAGTGTAATAGCAGCAAAACTATTTGTTTGTTGTTTTATAAACATAATAATTGAATCACTAATATGCACACTATACTTTTGAGTATAGCAATTATTCACCACTTTTATTATATACATATATTACAATACACACTATTGAATAATATTACAGCAAAAAAACTAAAAAAAAAATCAGAGACATAGAAATAATTAAGTGATAATATCTTTGTGGCAACTCCTATCTGTCAGCGCGGGTGACGCTGACTGGCTCTGACGACCACTCTGTCAATGCCCACTTTTTGCTAGACTTCCTCGGTCAATTGCGCCCAAAATATATCGCCTACAATTTTTTTTTTATTTTTCCCGTGCTCAGGGGACACAAATTAACATGTTTAGAAGATGAAAAAATTTGTTTGAATTTTTTTTTTTCTTGCACACAGGGGTGTAAATGTCCTCAGGACCCATGAGCAGTGGAAGGGTTAAATATAATTTGGAGGATTAGGCACACAAAGTAACTGATCCCCAAGAGGATGGGCACAAGAGTAGATCTCACTGCCTATAATCAGGTCAGGTCAGGCCAGGTTAGGTTAAGTAAGCATTACTAGACAAGTAATCCAACAATTCAGTTGTCATCATTTTAAGTTGATTTTTTATTAAAACATTTGGGTACATTTGAATTTATGCAGCTACCTTTGACTATACGTTAAATTATTAAGAAACATATGAGCTTTAAATACCCTTTTTTTCTGTGGAGAGCCCCTCCGGCTCCCCGGCGCTATACCGGGCTGATGTGTATATATTAGACTGTGGCAACAGTCAGTCGAAGGAGTCCTAGCCTACAGAGTACCACGAGCCAGGACCTGGCCCCCTCAGAGAGGCATGAGGAGCAATGGCCTATAGACACCCCCATATGTCTGGAAGCAGTCTATATCTGCCATCTACCAGGTCAGGCACCCAGAAAGGTAGGAATCCCAAAACAAACTTCAGCTGGTTAAAAATTGCAAACCGAAAGCCGAACTAGCAAGCGGAACTCCCCCATTCGAAAAAAACAAGTAAACTAGCATGATGTCACCACAGCCGCTGTGGAAGGTCTGGGGGGGGGGGGGATATGGAGTAGTTGGGTTCTGTACTTAGAGTTGAGGAGCGAGTGGTGGCTGCCTCCCGGATAAGTCCCTCTTTTACTTTGTGTGGTTAGGTAGCTCCTGGAAGCCGGAGAGGTTCTTCACAAAAAACCAGTGTTGAATTTAATGAAACACCATTTTCTAGGTGAGACCCAGAGGTAGGGAGGCCCCCCCCCCCTTTCCTCACCCTGGGAGGGAGAGTTGCAGAGAAAGCAGCACGGCAGCTGTGGTGATATCATACTTGTTTGCCTATTTTTTTTATTGGAGAGTTCTGCTTGCTTGTTTGGCCTTCAGTTTGCAATTTTTAACCAGCTGGAGTTTGTTTTGAGTTTCCTACCTTTCTAGGTGTCTGACCTGGTAGATGGCAGATATTGACTGCTTCCAAACACACAGGGGTGTCGGTTATCTTGAGATGATTTCGGGGCTTTAGGTGTCCCCGCGGCCCGGTCCTCGACCAGGCCTCCACCCCCCAGGAAGCAGCCCGTGACAGCTGACTAACACCCAGGTACCTATTTTACTGCTAGGTAACAGGGGCATAGGGTGAAAGAAACTCTGCCCATTGTTTCTCACCGGCGCCCGGGATCGAACCCGAGACCACAGGATCACAAGTCCAGCGTGCTGTCCGCTCGGCCGACCAGCTCCCTGACCGGCCGACCGGTGTCTATAGGCCATTGCTCCTCACACCTCTCTGAGGGGGCCAGGTTCTGGCTCGTGATACTCTGTAGGCTAGGACTCCATTGATTGACTGTTGCCATGGTCTAATATATACACATCAGCCTGGTATAGCTCCGGGAGCCTCCGGGTCTCACCCAAAAAATGGTATTTCATTACATTCAATGCTTTTTTTTTTTTTTTTTTTTTTTTTACTGACTTGTTTTACTCATATTTGACCTATGTATCCTTTGAACTAAATTAAGATTAGACATTTTAAAATTGTATTGCTTTAAGTTGTTTAAATTGGTTGCTTTCATAATGTTGTGCAAAATGTTGGTGATTGCACGAAATCTTCTAATTATATCTGCAAGGAATATTCTGTTTAGCCATTATTATTATTTCTGGTGATAAGTGTAATTCTGACCAGCAATTGTGGCATGTCTAGTACTAGAACCTCTTTCAAGCCCTTGAAGGTACTGGTTATTAACATCTCAGCTTAGGACTTGATATGAACCATCTCAAGTGAGGAATGTACCTGATGGTAGTTCCTGAGGGTCACTGTCCTCACTTTCTAGCCTCAGGCCAACCTTCAGTGTTAGTGTATATGCCTAATAAAGGATAATAATGTCCAGACATCAGCTGACAATGTTGATATTGCCAAATCTGAATTCAAACCAAATTTGGGTATCATGAGAAATAGAAAGCTCTATGCACAACATATATGTTGCAAAACATTTTGACTGCCCTTCTTAGGATTTGAAATACTGTAATGTCTAAATGAAATGAAAACTTCAAAAGTAATCCTTAGCACTTGTAAGGTAAACGGTTGGTAGTGTGTAATTACCCAAGTGTAGTTACAGGATGAGAGCTATGCTCGTGGTGTTCCATCTCCCCAGCACTGTCATACAACACTTTGAAACTACTGATAGGTTTTGGCCTCCACCACCTTCTCCAACAATTTGTTCCAACCCTGTACCATTCTGTTTGCGAAAGTTAATTTTCGTATATTTCTTCGGCATCTTTGCTTAGTTTAATTCTATGACCTCTGGTTCTTGAAGTTCCAGGTC